ACCGGGCCCGACACCACCAAAACAAAAGCTATCAGATTGCAAGCGATAGCGAGCGTGGAGCGATATTGCTTATTAACTATGTACAAAGGAAGCGCGGGGCAGGGGAGCGAGTGCGACACAACTCCGGCCACAAAGCCAAGGCCGGGGCTGCGCGCTCGCGAAACAAAACACGCTCCTCGCTCCCCCGCCGCCGCCGCCGCCGCAGGTCCCCGCGCCCCTGAACCGGGGGCGCGCGACTCCCCTCGGCTAAGGCCACAGGCACCTAGGTGTCCTCGCGCGGCCGTGTCGCGGCAGCTACACCCCCACGTTGCAAGCACGTGTGTGGAAATGCCCGTCGGCTCCGACCACACACCCACTCCTGCACACTCGGGTGCTGTCCCCACAGCCTCCCCAGCCCGGCCAGGACAAGGTCAGCGTCCACTGGCCGTGGGGCGGGGAGGGGGGGGGAGTGGGAGGCCCCAGAGTCCTCCGAACTGGGGGCCCAGGACGCTCTCCCCAGGTGAGATGCGGGGCACCCCCGCCTTCGCACTTTTTTTCCAGGGGCTGTGTGGAGGGATGGGGGACTAGTCGGGAGCGCTCCCCGCACCCCAGAGCCGCACCGCGCAGCCCAGGGACTCCTGGCGCAGGACATCCGCGGCGGACCAAGCGAAAGTGACGGGGAGAGGCCGGGACTCTAAAGAGCCCGAGGGGCAGCGCGCGTCGCGCGACAGGAGGCTGCGCTAGGAGGTTTGGCGACGTGTCCTGGGGCTGCGGGTCCTCTCCGCCCCGGCAACTCCGTCGAGGATAACTTGCACCCCACCTTCCCGTGGGCTCCCCGCCGCGGGGCGCGGAGTCAGCTCCACNCGCGCCCCGCCCCGCCCCGTCGCTCCCGCGCCGAGAGGGGGGGGAGAGGGGGGAGAGGGGGCGCCCCACAGCTAAGACCACTTGGATTTCGCAACAGGGCGCAGCCCCTGGAAGGAAAAGTTCCCACAGTGGCCGCGGGCGGCGGGCAAATACTCACTTTCTCCACTCGTGGGCCAGAGCGAGAGCGTGGCGACGACAAACAGGAGCCCCCACAGGGAGGTCAGGGACCCTCCTCCGGAACCAGACTTCATCTCTCTGGTTTTAGGATAAAACCTTCCTCTCTCTCGAAAATAAAAAAGGGTGGGGAGGGAAAGAAAAAGTCTCCAACTCGATCTTCGCCCCCCCTTCCAAAGCCGAGGGCGAAGGAAACAATACTCCAGAGGTGGCGCGGACGGGGCGGGCGGCGCGGGGGCCCCTCAGCAGCCGCGGCCGAGGGCTGGGCACACTGGGGAGCCTGGGGCGCACCGGGGCGAGCGGGCGGCGTCGTAAGCCTCCATTTTCAAACCCAAGAGGCNNAAAGAGAGGGGGCAAAGCCCAAATCCGTCCCAGCTCCGCAAAACAAACCCGACCCTGGGACGAGGGGGGGCTGTCCGCTGCCGGAGCCTCGGCGGCGGGAGGGCGCGACGCAGTTGGCAAGATCGCCCCGAAGTCCCGGGCGCAGGCGAGGCCGGTCGGGCCGAAATGCGGAGCAAAAATGAATGAGAGGCTCCCCTCCTGCGGTCCTCGGGCTGCGCTCGCCGCCGCCTCGCTCAGCGCCGCCGCGGGCTCCTGCCCGAATCC